TATATATATATATATATATATATATATATAATATTATAAAGGTGACGTCACATCAGTTTAGAAGTATTGGTTAGCTCGTGGCTGATCTACATCATCTCAAATTCTAAATTACGCAAAGCTTAATATTAATTGTGTTGGCTTATCAAGGTGGATATGATCTCTTAATCACCACTTATACGAGGTATCTACTCTTTGGTTGATCGTCAGTATCTTATTCATGTAGAATTTAATATTACTTGGCTTATTTCAGTATTTCTGGTAATGGGATTTTCAACCACTATGAAGTTCATTCTTTAATTTTTAAAATTTTAAAAATGAAAAAGGATCTGGGCTTACCACCCAGTCTAGGCCTATTACTGTGCCTAAACAGGCCTTACGCTTGGTTCACAGGGCTTACCTAGCAGTAAGCCCTGTATTGCACATGTACCGCCTGATTGCTGGTCCTCATGCCGCTCTGCGGCGGACTGGTAAACACCATCTGTGGGCAAAATTACGTTTCTTGCTTATTTCATCCCATACCTGACTTACTGTGCAAGTACATGTTACTTTGTTCTTTTTATGATTGTCAAACACAATTGTATCTTATTCAATATGACAACCAAGAAGTATTCCTATTTGTTGTTATTTCTTATAAGACAATTTCTCTCTTCCTTTTTTTTACCTTGACCCTAAGGAACGAAGCAACACAATTTAAAAGTATACATGACAATTCTTGTAAAGACACTTATAGTGGTTAAGCGAGTATTGGACCATGTCAGCTTCATGTTGCCTCCATCAAATTAGACCAAAGCCAAATTTACAGCGTCTTGCAGTTTACTTGTTTCAAGGTACATGCATAAACCTTGTAAACAAGTGCTCCTTTTTTCTTCAACTGAAGGACAAAGCCAGACACTGATAGATCTAACATTTCAATAAGATTTGACCCTCTTAATACAATGCAACAATGCCATAAGGATAATTATACTAGAAGTAATTATTCTGGTTAAAAAACGATACAATAAAATAGTAAAGAAAATTTAGAATAGTAAAAATTGTGCACTTTTTTGTCATCAAATTTAGAATTTCACACCAAGTCCTGGAGCTTTCTAGGTTTGTTAGCCTTATATTAGTACCTTGTGCATTTAGTAAGGGATGCTTGTTAGTCAATGGATGTCAAGCAATTTTCTGGACTTGAGCTTTGATTGATTTGCTTCAGAGTTTGGAATGAACTATTTAACGAAGTAAAATCTTCTGTTAGAAGTTGGATATTTCTTCTGTAGACTATTTGGAAACATCTTTAATCTTTGCACATGTTTTGAATGAAAAATCAGCAAAGCAAGGTGACAACTACACAGTTCATAATGTCAACCTCAAGGGAGCAATAATGTCCATCAGTATGAATATGGATTCTAAACTTCTTGCTGTGGGAACAGACAAAGGATATGTAAGTACTCCTGGACTATTGAACTATTGAAATTGAGATTCCTCTTATCTTTTAGTTAGTTGCTTTCATTTTTTTTTTAATATCACTTTAAACTAGTTTGCTAATTTTTAGTTCAATTTCTTACCTGGATGACTAAATTAGAAGATCAGAATCATGCATAGCTTGCACTAGTTAGAAAAGTTAATGCAAACTATTGTTTGACTGAACTTTCATCTCTATCAATAGTGATTAAAATCTATTAGGATATCTTGACTGTCTACTGGAGTTATGCTATTAAGGATTCTTTTCAAGGACTTAATAATCAGAAAATTTTGTAGAAAGTGGATTTGATGACCCATCAGGATATTCTATTTCCATGCTTGTGGATCTCAAGTCTAATATATTGGAAGTGTAAAGAGATACAAGTACCAAAGTAACTATATATCGGGATAGAAGGAGGAAGTCAGTATCTCTAATGAATATCCTTTTCATCTATGGTTGCATAATTTACAAATTTCTTTTTGAATTTGTGAGGTCCTCACTGGGCTGACATACAAATATTGATAATGGAGTGATTATATTATAAATAAAACATATGTGGTTATACAGTGTACATAAGAAACTCACATAAAGAATGTGTAGTTTTGATATTTTTATGAAGTTGACTTCGATATTTATGAGGAACTTAACAAGTCTCATTTTTTTATTGAGAAAAAAAGGTATAAACTGCTGGGGTAGAACAACAATATTGACCCTCCCTACTCCCTAGACCCTGCACTGGGAGCCTGGGAGTCTCGTGCACCGGATATATCTTAGTTTACAATGAACTAGAGTATTCTTTATACAGAGACTCTGTTGTCATTGCATATAGGGTCATGAAGAAACAAAATTAGGTTTTCTGTAAAGTTTACCTTAAAGCATTTCTCATTTTAATATCTAAAAATGTTTTCCTGTTGCACCAAAAATTATAGTGGAGGATTGCTTTGCTTACTAACATGATATAACTATATTTATTGTCTCAATATTTTATCTTTATATTGGTATGTGAGTATCACTTGCACACAAGAAAGTTCAGCTTCATTCATGCCATACCGCATAGGAACAGAACTAAAATTGCATGGATGTTTGGAGTTATGTCCCTTTCTATTTCTGCATCATGTTATATATTTGCATGTCAAAGAAAATGTTGTCTTCCAGGTATCAGTAATCCAGATGGAAGGGACCACCATCTTATATCAAAAGCAAATACCTGGCCAAGTTTATAGTGGTATCATGTCTTTGCAATTTGTGAATCATGGCCAAAATGGCTCAGAGAACAGCATATTGTTGGTAGGGATGGAGGATTCATCAGTTTTGGCTCTTGAAGAGGATTCAGGGCATGCATTGAGTGCTAATCCAGTCAAGACTAAGAAAACCTGTAAAGCTTTGTTGATGCATATATTGGGTATGCCCTAGTCAGAAGCTATTTGTCAATGTAATCTTTTTTTTCTTAAATGGTCACTTATAAAATGTGAAAAGCCATCAGGATGAGATAATATATAGCTGTCTCAAGTCTTTAAATGAAACAGATGCATCACCAAATGGAGTATGCACCTCAGACTGTGTGGATACAAGCAAACAAAGTTATTCAAAACAGTTAATGCAGAAGCAACCACTAGTATTGATTTGCTCTGAAAATGCCATACGTCTGTATGCTTTAAGTCATGTATTACAGGTGATGGTATTTCACATATTTTTCCCTTCCAGTTCCTTGAACAAGTACAAGAAAAGACTAACTTCCCTTTGGTTTTTATCATCTTAGGGGATTAAGAAGGTTTACAGTAAGAAAAAGCTAGATGGCAGCTGTTATTATGCATCAATTATCCATGGCTCTTCATTGGATGTCGGACTGGCACTTGTGTTTTCCTGTGGCAAGATGGAGATAAGGTGATCCTATCTTCTGTAGAATATGTTATAGTTTTTCTTTTGATTTGATAATGAATCCAATTATAACTTTGTGTACTAGATATGTCCATCTGCTGATTAGGAAATGTTGTTTCTTTATAAGAATTAATGAGTTGATTTTGTTGGTGGCAGATGCAGAAAAATTAATGTAGCAGGTTTAAATTTGAACTTTGCTTGTCATTCGGTTAGGTCAATCTGCTTCATTTGAACTAACAGTCTAAGCACATTTACCTGATATTTGAAATTGTCAAATTTCAGATCCCTTCTAGATTTAGCTGTCTTAAATGAGGTTTCCCTGAGAGGATTAACCTATCCAACATTGAAATCACCCCCAAATGCAAATAGTATATTCTGTGTTTCCTCTGAAGGAGAAATTCTTCTGGTGAGAACAATTGTTATTTAATTTGATATTTAACTCATTAACATTTTCCTGGAAGTTGCTGAGGTTTTTGCATGTGGCTTAGGTCAATGGAGATCAAGCATTGCTCTTTATTTCAGTTTTATCTCACAGGGAAATCTACAGGTACATTATTGAAATTAAACATTTAGACAATCTGTCTGAGGACACAGTTTAACTTATTTCATTTGCTGTTGATGAAGATGATTTAGTTATTATGTTTCAGGTGTTCTATTTTCCTGCAGCTTATAACTTGACTACATTGCTTTTTTCTTTCAAAAATACTTTGTTTGATGTTATAATACTCTTGTGGATATTAATATTTAGAATTTCTTTTAAAACTAAAGTCCATATGCATATTAGTAATAACTTTCGATGAGGGCAAGCCTTAGTACAACAGCATGGTTACTCCTTTATGATTAGAGTTTGAATCATGGAAACAACTTCTCTGCTTCTAGTGGTAATATTGCATATATTCATCCAATCCAGAGCCCCACATTGGCAGGAAACTCGTACATCGAATTTGTTCCCATATATTATTAGTAGCATTCGATAAGTTTTTTGTTTGCATGGAATTGATATCAACAAATGTTTTAATAAGGTTAGAAGAAAGTTTCCCATTCTCAATATGTAGCCAATGCTATGAAAACTGGTACTAGTCTGTGCTATAACTTTGAACAAGAAAGGCCTACCCTTAACCCAAAAGGTTTCATGTAGGTGGAAAGACCAACCCTGCAGTATTTCTAGTACCGAACACATTTGTAATAAGGCAACTTTTTGAGACTTCTCTATATAGGGAAAGAATCTTATTAGTCAAGTACTCAACTGTGTTACAAATAAAATAAATTTGTGGTTCTACAAGCTTTCTTTGGGAACCGGGAACCCATCTAATTTTGTTTTAGTTATTATCAGGCATTTAGAGTATATTACCAATGTTTACATGGAGGGTCTTGCCCCACAAGAAGGGACTTCTTGCATGAAGAATCCCCAAAAAGAGAGGAAAAAGGTAAAATATTGAAGTGCCACTTATCTTGTTGGCTATAGAGTTTACATTATATGAGAAAGATCATGTTATCCAGGGAATATTTGGCATGGTTGTCAAAGATCTGAAAGGAAACAAAACAAAACATGGCAAAGAAAATGATGCTGATGATTCAAGTATTTCTGAAGAACTCTCAGCTTTATTTTCAACAGTTAATTTCTTACATTCTGATGAGACAAGGTGTAGCTCAGTTGTAAATAATGAAGATGTTGAGCTGGACATAGGTAATTGCCATAATTTCTATTCACCTTATTATGTTTTAGCATGCTTACATAGAAACATGTCTTTTCTACCCATGAAGATGATATTGACCTTGAAGATACCAAAGAAAAACACAAAGGTTTGAACTTGGCTGTTTTGGACAAGCAGAAGTTAGGAAAGAAACTCCATGCTCTCAAAGGTCAGTACAAAATGTTCACTTTATTAATTACGAGTGATTCTTTTGGGACAATTTTGTAATTTCAACTTGACAATTTAGTTTTCAAATCTTGCTCGGATAGGAACTGTAGGAAAATTGAAGTTGAATATAGAAGAAAAGATGAACTCAAGAAAAGATAAGCACGAGGAGGAGAAGGATATTAGTGCTGTTGATAAGATCAAGCAAAAGTATGGATATGCAACAAATGACGTGAGTAAAATTCATCCGCACTCCCACTGCAAAACTTTGACAATTAAAATTTAGAGCTTACATTTCAATTGCTTCAAACTTCCTGTTTGGTTTTACCTTCCTATAATGTTAGTAACACATCTATAAGTTTTGCCATAATTTTTTTTTATATGCTTCTAAATAAGATCATCATCATACCTTGCCATCTTGACCTATTCCTGAATTAAGAACATGTCAGAAATTTGAACCAATTTCAGGTGGGTCTTTATTGTTTTTATTTTTTCTCCTTTATGTTGCTCAAGGTTTCAAAAGCTGCAGTATTTTAGATGCAAGGCCAGTACATATCTTCCAATTCAGTTTGTGTGCTGCTCTAACACCTAATACCAATATCATAGTAGCTTTTAATATTCTTTGTCTTAGTGTACTTACGGTTACGGTTAATAACCATAACCGTACTTATGGTTACGGTTAGTGTACTTCCTTCCCTTAAACTCTCAATCTGGTGTGAAAGCACTCGAAAGAAGAGAATTGATCAAATTGTTGAGTCAGTTGTTCGCTCGAGAGAATTAATCACCTGTGAATCAGCTATTAGCTTTGGAGTAAAGGAAGCAGATTGGTTTGACGCTTGATGTTGGTAGAGATTATGAGTCTCTTTTGCCTTACGCTTTTGCTCAAAGTGTTGTTGGTCTTCAAGTAGAGTTCCGCTCGCGCTAGGCAAAAACAGTGTCTTGTATAGAAACAGTAAATAGAGAATCAGCAACTGGTATAGCTTAGTCTGAAGTTTTGATTCTGTTTGAAGCGTTATTGTGGGCTTATGAAACTTACTTTACCTAATGCATCAACTTGTTCTCTATACTAGATTTACATACCCAGATAATCACAAATAGGTCTTTCCACTAAATCATCTATTATGATTCTCTTTGTTTTGTCCACCCCAATGATTGATTCTCTTTGTTGTTGTCATCCTGTCTTCATTGTCATTGTCATCATCGTTATCATTGTCAACTTTTATGTGATTCTGTTAGTTTTCTTTAGGGCAAAGATTAATAAAGTAACAGTCTGACCCAGTTATGGTATCAAATATACAGTTCAACTTTCATTATAACACAATTTCTTTTTAATTTTTGTTTATTCAGTGATATTGGGTGGTATATGTTGATATATTGAAATTGATATCAGACAGATTTAAACATTACTTCAGGGTGCTTGTCAATAACTTCCACTTTCTTTCTACTTTGTAATATGTTCGTGTGTGCTCAAAATCTGATGCCCCAGAATAGTTTTCTACTTTTCTTATTGTTTTATTTGTGTTATCTTAGTTATTGAATTTGATATGCTTGTTTATTTTTAGCCATTAAATGAGGCCACTCTTTTTCCTGATATTTTCGTAGCTTGTACACCTTTTATTTTGAGGAAGCTCTAGCATTTGTGTTGGAAACTATTATTTTCTTTTCATAGCTTTGTAGCATTCACAGTTTATGATGCATTGCCTTGATACAGGAGTCAAATACTGTAAAGATGGCAGAGAGCAAATTGAGGGAGAATGTCATAAAGCTGAAGGTATTAACTTGTCCCAAATTTGAGTGTCATTTTCCCTTGTCAACTTTATTGGATTGATAACAATGAAGTCAGCCTTGAAAGAAAAGCTAACAAGAAAGCAATGGAGATTTAGATTTCTCTTCTTTCTTTTTTTCTTCCATGAAAATCTTGATATGATTTCTGATATTACATATCATAAATACCTTTCTCAAGTCCCACTTTTTATTGTTATCTCTTTAGAATGTATGTTCAATTTTGGTGAGGTCAAGTTTGCAAATCTCATGGTTGATACAGAACAAAAGATACTGATTCAACCAATTACTGGTATCAAAATATATAGCTAGATGCGGCTACATTCATTTATCCATCATTTCTATTGAATGACACTAGGTGATGCTGGTACACTCATTTATCTGTCTGGTATGCTGGTATCATATTGGTATGATAGGTTGCTAAAACATATATCGGGTGAGATTTAAATCATTGGATGAGGTACTCGTAAATGATTAGTCAAGGATCAATGCAAATCAATGATAAGTTGCATTTCTAGTATCATAGAAGCTAAGAAAAGATATTATAATGAAAGATATACAATCATATAATGATGTTAATTACTGTGCTTCGTTCTACTGTTTACCATCAGATGATTTAAATGGTCTAACAGTTCTAAAGTAAATTCTAGCCTTTTCATGTTTTTTTTGTTCTATTGAATTTGTAGGCAAGCCTTGTACACTTCTACTGCCTAGGATTGTGTTGTATTGTTAACTAAAATTTAAAAATGTGGTGCAAAAGTTTGTAAGTGAACTGGAGAACTGAGGAACAAGTTAGAAAGTGAATCGAAAGTGAATATATGTTATCAGAGACAACTATGTATAGCATGGCTGCATGAGGAAGGACCAAGTAGAGAATGTTCTTTTGGATCACAGAATGAATGATCCAAAGAATGGAAAATGTGTTATCTTCACTAGAATCGAGTTCACCTAAAGTGCAGCTTGGATGCCAATTATTCGAAGCTTGACTAGATCTTATGGTTTAAGTTACTGTTGTATTACGGCCTGGACTGGTGAACAAGAGCTGTTTTCTGGTCCACTGGTGGTTGGCACATGGACCAAGCCCTACCAAGGTCCAGATTCAGGCATACCACCTTGGCTGGTTTAAAACAAGTAAATCCTCTCTTTTTCACCCTTCTTCACACACCCCATTCCCCTCCCCCGCGCCCCCCCCCCCCCCCACGGTCATACACTCACTCACTCTCATTCCCTTCTAAATTTCTCTCAACCCTTTTAAATAATTCCAGAACATCAAGGGAGGAGTATTTCTCTTACATCTCTTCTGAATTTCTTGTAGATCTAAGACAGATCCATAAGGAACAAGGGTTGATCATTGTGGATCTACACTAGATCTGAATATAACCAGTCTTATGTTAGCCTAGATAGATCCATATGAATGGATCTAGTATTTATTTTTTTCTAGATTGAAATCACTTTATTATTATCATTATGAAACGGATCTAACCTAGATTCATGCGGATCTATGCTTAGATCCATATGGATCTCAGCTAGATCAAAATGGATTGGTATTTTATTGTTTTCTTGATTGAAATCAGTTTATTGTTATCAATATTGATAATATTTGCCAAGAATAAGTGAGACAGAATCCTAAATTAGTATTTATTTGCAGATTTTTCTATCTTTTTTAGTGCCATGGTACATACAGCCATATGTATGCCCGTGTGTATCTGACCCATACCAATCTGAGGATGGACTGATATAGGTTCAATTAGCGAAATTGAATTTCCTTGGGTTAAGTTGATACCCAAAACTTCTGCACATTTAGTGCTTAGCCTCCTCTATAAGTATATAAGTAGGATCATAGAGTTTATCGGTAAAACAAACTAAGATGAAATATAGGGAGTTGAATGTTACATTAGCAAACATAAATTTTGGCCATTCTGACTTGAAAATATATATTCATTGAAATTGAGGGCTTTGCTTTGACAATAAATTAAGCCTACAAATGAACCACACTATCTTTTCATAAGAAGACTCATTCTCACCATCTTTTCCTGTTCCATTGCTTTTGACAAAATACATTGACTACTTTCTCCTGATGCATTAAGAGGACAAATGCTACTATGTGTCTTGGCAAAATCTTGGTGCGAATCTTTTTGGTTGTTCCCGCTATGGAAAAGCATTACCTACCTGCTTGGAAATTGTTCCATGGTCATAAATCTGTATGTTGTTGTGGCTGATTATTGCAGGCCATTGGATTGCGGACATCGGAGATGCAGAATACAGCTCAGACATTTTCATCCTTGGCAAAAGAACTGCTACAATCCACACAGGGCAGCAAGAGTACGTAGGAGAGACGGACGTCGCATTAAGTTCCCACTTGTGTACGTGTGCAGTACATGGTGTAGAACCTATTGTTATTGTTGTGTGTTTTGTGTGTAGGTTCTTCGCGTGTGTGATTTCGTTTAGCGTGTAGGGGTCATGGTTATGATTTGTGCTGACGCTACTCTCTCTTTTCTGAGGTAGCATTTGTATCTTGGATCATGATAAATAAACAAAAAGGAGTTTGATCGGAAAGGAATACGGAACCCAGAGTGAGCAAAGATGGAATTAGCAACTCAACAAGTGTGATGTGGGATCCACTTAGTCAAGTGTGCTGCAGATTAGATGGCGGCATTGTGTCGGCAATTTCTGTTCCTACACATTGCTTTGATACGAAAATTCACGCCTGCAAATGCTTATTAAGTATTCTTCACAAAGTTACTAGTTGCGAACAATCTTTTAGTGTCAGCTGTCTCTGCTGTGAGATTTACCAGTGACAACTCACAAACTCCATGATCAAGCCACACGAAATTTAGCTGCACTCGTAATCACCACTATACCTCAGAAACCCCGTTCTCATAACACATTTTAAGTGCACCCATTCCACTTCAAACACATCCAGATATGAAACAACTACCGATCACGATATCAATTCGACCAAATCAATCAACTAGCCAAAACTCCAACAGAACCGCCTTTCTATAGTTGTGACGTGTCACGCACTATACAATCGATCCCATGCCAAGTAGAATATGACATGCCTACCATAACCATAACCATAGCACAACCCACCATCAATACCGTGCACTTAAGTATCACATGCCAAGTAGAATATTCTTATGCGAGCGACTAGAGTTGGAAGTTACACAGATGCTCTTTATCTATGCATAATTTAAAATCTTTAAATTATTTTAAATAGATATCGCAAGTATTTTTCTTAATCTAAAATAGTTTATATTGAACAACCATCCAGATTTAAAAATATATTTTTTTTAAAATTATATTTATGATTTATTTAAAGCTCTCTGTGAGTTAAAGAAAGCTCTTAAGGGTTTAGCAAGAGAGATTTAGTTCATTTCCTATATAAAATAAACTTTCAAAAGGTAAGGTCAACATCACATTATTTATAAAATATTTATTTTTATTATTTAAATTTATGTTGGTGATATTATTTTTTATTCGAATCTTTATGTGAATTATTTGTTAAGAATATGATTCAATAATTTGAAATAAGTTTGATGAGTGAATTGATATTTTTTTAGGATTATAAATTAAGCAACTAAATGATAAAATTTTCATTAGTCAAACCAAATATACTTTTGATCTATTAAAATGATTTTATATAAACAATACTAAGCTTATCATATACCGATGAGTATCTTTGCTAAATTAGATATGGACATTGAAGGAGAATGCTTTGATCAAAAGACTTATAGATGTATGGTAGATAGTTTATTATACCTTATTATAACTGATATAATATTTTATATTAGACTTTGTGTAATATTTCAATCTAATCCTAAATAATATTATTATAAAGTAGTAAATTTATATTTTAGATATTTATAAAAAATAATATGAGATTATGATATCCTAAATCTAAAAATTTTAATTTTATGTTGATACTAACTTTGTAAGATATAGAATAGATAAAAAAATGTATTTTTGAAACTAGTCAATTCTTAGGTTATGTACTTATTTCTTACTCTAAAGCTGAAGCTAAATTTGTTATGTCAAATGCATATTATGTGTATGTAATTTGGATGAAGAATATTTTAGAATATTATAAACTTTGTTTAAAAAAATCTCTATAAAGTGTGATAATACTAGTATAATTTATTTATCAAGGAATCCTATTCAACATTCTCAAACTAAACATATTGATATTAGACATTATTTCAATATGGATAATCATGATATATCTTTAGAATTTATTGACACAAAACATAATCTAGTGAATATTTTTACTAAACTATGAGGAATAATTTGATTTTATTATAAGATAATTAGATATATTAAACCTATATAAATGATTCTTTAGATCACTTTGGACATAGGTTAAAAAAAATTTTTGGGGCTCAACGGTAACACCATAGGCCTAGTACCACCAAAACATTTTGTTCAATAGTAATAGCATCACAAAGCTAGTGGTACTATCGCCAGTGACCCGTTACCATGCCCTATACCTTTAGGGCTAGTGTAGAACCACCTTAAACCCCTCTCCTCTCTTCTATCTCACCCCAATTGGCCTCTCTATCTCCTAACCCTCTTCTTCCTCCCTCTAAACCTCCTCCACAACCCTCTTTCTTTTTCTTCCTCCTGGTTTCTTATTAAGTTCTCCTAGTACTCTTTACTCACACAAAGCTGAGGACTTTTACTCCTTTTATAAGGTTAAAAATCAAGTTAAGAACTCTGTCACTCTTTTTGGTGATTAAGAAAAAGGTTTTAACTTAGCAAGAGTAAGACAAAGGGTAATCTCTAAAACCTCCTCTTATTCTCAACTTGTAAGTTTGTTCTTATTCTTAGTTTTATAATAAATATTATAGTCCTCATGGCACCTACAAGAGAAAAATAGATAAACCTATAACTCCATCCTATTTAATTCCTATGAAAATGCTATAAAATTTAGTTTGAATTTGAGATTATTCAGAAAAAAAATATGTGAACCTAGAGGATTTAGGTGAATTGGAGACTATTCAATGATTCACTAACTTAAATGTCCTTCCTATTATTCAAATTAGTGAACTTATCTGAATATTTTACAATAATTTATATATAAATAAAAATGATAAATTATCTATTTATGTTTTAGGATATTATATACCTATCAGAGATAACATAATTTATGACATCTTAGGTATCACTTAAAAAGGATCAAGGTTTTTTTTTCCTAGGATAATGGGATATCGAGTCCACTAGTGTCACCTATCATGAGATTATTATCATTATTTTTTTAAATTTTAATATATCTATTATCCCTAAGAGTTATGAATATCTTTTACTATTTAATGTAAAATTACTTATATCATATTCCAAGTAGTATTTTACTTCATAAATAATTATCATCTTAATAAAGCTAATGCTTTAAAAATGAGATTATGACAATGTGTTTATTTCTTTAGTTATCTCATAGGTAAAATATGATTGATATATCTTAGAAGGATATGATGCTGCTATATAAGATTTGATTATTAAACTTTTACATATATATATATATATATATATATATATATATATATATATATATA